AGATAGATAGATAGATAGATAGATAGATAGATAGATAGATAGATAGAAAGATGGAGAGGTGGAGAGAGTGGGAGAGAGAGAATGAATCACACAATTTGAAATGGATGTTCAGGCCTTTGAGTCTAACCCTAACTTATTTGGGAGACTGACAGATTGCTGTTAGCTTCTTCAGGAATCCAGCCAACAGTGAGGAGTTACTCACCTCCTTCAGTAAATCTCCTTCTCCTACGTATCTAATGTTTTGTGTTCTCCACTTACTGCTATTTTCATTCATCACTGATCAACCTTGTCCTGCTCCATCCCACCTCCCGTATTCCCTTTGTTTAACTATCAGTTGTTTTGTTCTCCTTGCTAGCAAAATTTAAATTGTAAGTACCTTGGAATTGAGTTTTTTTTTTTTGTCAATTATAAATTATTCTGTAAAGAAGATTGATGGCACTGGCATTTTGAAAGCGATTCTATCAAATGAGAGGTGCTCCAGTACTCATTGCAGAGATCTTTGGCACAAGAAGATGTTTTTCTCTATACATGATCTGCAAATATTTTGAATAATAGCTCTCATTGTCGGGATTCATGCCAGAGATTCTCTGACACAATTCTTCCAAGATTCTAGACATAGAGACTATTTATCACAGGTTCCATGGCATGAAAAGGCAGGATATGATCATTGTTATAATTCTCACAGTGGATTCCTGGAATTCTCACAGCTGATATTCAGAAACTGGGTCATTTTCCCCTCTTAAGGAGACAGACTATAGAGATCCACTCAAAAACCACTATAAAGATATTGTCCATCTGATGAAGATATTATCCATATTGTTGGGAAGTTCCTTAATTCCAGATTGCCTTTCTCCTTGATTAGTTTCCATCCATTGTTTCTTTGGTCTTGCCTTCTGGTGCTTTGTTCACCCTCTCCTCTTTGTGGCAGCCCCTCTAATACTGGAATACCTTCTCTCTTAGTCAAGTTCAGGAGTCTCCAAACTTGGCAAATTCAAGGCCTGTGAACCTTACCTCTCAGAATTCCCCAGTCAGCCACATTATTATTATTATTATTATTATTATTATTATTATTATTATTATTATTATTAGCAATAACAATAACAATATTTTAAGTTATCAGTCATGGGGCAAACTCCAATTATCATGGGACAAACTCCAATCATCAAATATCCTAGGAGAAAACTACTAGGAATTGTTCCATAGCAAGCCACCACCATGTAACATAAAACGAGAAAACATAGAAAGGGACCAGATCAATAAAACAAAAGCAACACATAAGAATATCAGCAAAGTGATGCACTGAAGGGAATGGGATGAAGGAACTTGGATGGTGAAAAAGAGGCAGAGCAGAAGACCATATTATAATTGCTGAACAAAATATAGTTCTCTAGTTGTATTTTGCTCCTTTCATCTCCGGATCTTTTTGGGAGGTCATATTTTATACTTTCCAGTTTGAACTAACACAACTTTGGGTGAGCATCTTGTAGAGGGTTGAATGTTAGATGGGAATGGAGCAAATTAGAGTCCTGTGGGAACTTACAGAAAGAGCTAGGTGTTTGTTTGACGTTATGTTTCCCCTATTAACACTGACTGGAACTTACCTAGAAGAAGGTGGAGGACCATTGAATCTCGTGCTCCTAACCTCTAAATTGATCCAGAAAGATACTGTGATCGTTAAAGGTACTGCGAGATCAAGGAAGATTGGGATGGATGCATGAATTCCCACCATCTCAGGAGATCAACCAGTGTGATCAATATCATTACCATAACTAGATTTAAACCCCTGTGAAAGGGTCAGAAATTTTCTCCTGAGCTAGTTGACTACTGCCCGGGCAACAAAATGGCAGGGCTTTTTTCTTTTGCAATAAACTCATCTCTTGGAATGAGACTAACTGCCCCCACCCTCCCGATTAAACCAGTTGCAATATATATTTTAAGCGAACGCTCTTCATAACGGGATTGTGTCAACACGGAAAATTACATCAGTTCTGTCCCCAAGCGAGGAGCCCCAATCTAGTTACACAGCTCAAATACATTAAATTATAGGTAGCAATACAATTTACAAACAACCTCAGCAGTCTTTTATAACTATTTTATCTCCACGGTGAACTTGTGGCCAATTCTTTCTCTTTCCCATTACAGCTCAGCTATTAGAATCCCTGTGTTAATAGAAGAGACTCTCTGTAGCTCAGGATTGAACTGTGGGGGCCTTGGTGCTTTCTGAACTTGGTTATGCATGAGAGATCTTACTTATTCGGGCAGCAAAATGTCTTCAAGCAAATAACTGGGCTCAGAGAGCACCAAGGATTCCACAATTCACAATTCGGCGGGATTGGATTCCTGTGTTTGGCTCTAAAATGTGGAAATGCCTTTGAGATTACTATTGATTAACTTAAATTATCTGTAGGGAACAAACCTGCTCAGTTATGGAACAGCTGCTTTATCACACTTCTTTTGCACCTGTTTTTAAAATATCTGCAGTGATGATCTGAAAAGAACATTTCAGATACTAGTGTGATTGTAACATCAAGGTTAGATGATCTTGATGATAATAACCTCCATTTGATATTCCTGTTGTCCATGCCTGATTTCAGGTTTAGCCATATAGTTGGCTTTTCTTTTCAGTGATCTGTTTCCTACATAATAACTGGTCCCTTCCATTATAGGATCAAGACCCATCTCTAGGTACTTTTGATAATACCATGCAGAAAAAAATATCCCCTTGATATTTCTACCAAAGACCCATTCAATTTTACAAGAGAGATGTGGATGAGTAGAGAATGGTGTCTTTCCAGATATTTATGGCGAATGAATGTGTGTGTGTGTGTGTGTGTGTGTGTGTGTTTTCCCCTCCTTCTTTGTTCCTTCTGAGGTCTGCAGCTTATGTAGCTTCCCACACTTCAAAGAAATGTGGGGAAAAAAGTAATAAAGGTACAATTCTTTTTATGGAGCTTTTTTTTTCTGATTAGGAAGTATGGTTACTTAGAAAGCTTTTAGAAAGTGGAAAGCTGTAATGCTTTCCTTTGCCACCTCCAACAAATTTAAAAGTAACACTAAGAGAAATTGGAAGTATATCTGAAACTATGTTGAGGAAAAAATAGGAAGCCAGGGAGAAAAGGAAACTTAGAAATTGCAAGGGAGACTCTGCACTGGTTTCAGCCATTGCCTGAAATCTTAGGTCAGAGGTGTCAAACTTAAGGCCCAGGGCCCAGATTCACCCCATGGGGTTCTTAGAAATGAAGGGTCATGGGGCCACCCTGGAAACAGCAAAGGACTGGCCTGTGATGACTGAGAGTATATCAGAAATATAACAAAACTTAAAATGTAACTAAAAGTCCTTTAATGCCTTCAGCTTGGCTTCACTGTTTAATTCTTCACAGTAGAAGAGTAAACTATTTTCAAAATAACATTTCAAAGGACAGAAACACAGTTCAAATTCAAAGAGCCCATAACGATGCAAAAACCAAAAACAAACTGCACTGAATAAAGTTCCAGACCGGGATAAATAATTACAAAATTCAGGAAGATAATCAGGTACAGTCTGTTGGAAGAACGCCAACCAAGATAAACCTTCTTTAGGAATAAAACACTAATTTATCTCCAGCATCTGTTAGCATGCAGGTCCAGACTCTTATGCAGATCTCACACCTGCAACCCATGAAGAGGATCAAGGCCCTCTCCTCTACAGTAGACCATGTCTCCCCCTTATCCTCTCCTCCCTGCATTCCCTAGAATGGAGAGGGGATGGGCCCAGGTCCTCCCCTGACTGCTCAGCCGGCCTCTGGCCTTCCCCAGCCTCCTCCACCACCTCTGGAGCCACACTTCCTGTTGGCTGTTCCTCCTCTTCCACAGAGTCAGTCTCCACCAGGGGCATGACAGGCCCTCAGTGCTCTGTCAGTGAAAATGAAGCTTAGGAGGATCACATGTGGCCTTCCCGAGCTCTGTTTTGGCTGGCAGAGGGTTGCAGGAGGCCGTCACAGTTGAAAACAGAGCTCAAAGAGTCTATTTTCATTGGCAGAGTGCTCAGGCCACCATCTGTGCCCCTGACATGAGTGACATTGAGCTGGCCACGCTCACTCCGGCCATGTGCACCCTGGCCCCCCAAATCAAACACAACGCTGATATGGCCCTCAATGAAATCAAGTTTGTCACCCCTGCCTTAGGTTCTTCTTTCACTTTTCCCTAGCAACTAATCACATTCATTATTGGGTTATTAATAATTAATAGTATTATTTCATTATTTGATTATTCTATTACTACTCTCTTATACTTTTGTTACAAGCTATTTGAGGTTTTTTTCTCAAATGAGAAATTATAAACCATTGTAGGAGAAGAAGAGCTTAGCTGGAAGGCAGGATTAAATGTGCCATCAGTTTAGAGTCATTGTGTTGCCACAAGGGACCCAAGTCCAGCCAATTCCATTCACCCTTATCTAGTACCAGTTTAGCTTTGACCATTAGTCAACTAGAGTCTTGTATTAGAGGTAGCAGTAATACATTCTTCTGTGCTTCGAACTCAACTGATGCTCCTGGGTATTTGCGCCTGACAACGACTGTGTTAATAAATGAAATATGTGTGTCTGCATCATTGTGATTTTGCTTGTATGTGTGTGTGTGCTTAACATGGTAATTCCTGTGTTTCAGGCTCCTTGAAGGACAGAAAGGGCTGAAAGTGGAAAATAAGGCCTTCTTCTCCCGTCTTACTTTCTTCAATGTCTCTGAGCAAGACTATGGAAATTATACTTGTGTTGCCTACAACCAACTAGGAAACACTAATGCTAGCATTATTCTCTACGGTAAGTAACAAATAAGTAGATGGCATTGGGATTCATAGAACTGTAGAATAATGTTGGAAGAGGCTACTAGCTCATTGAGTCTAATTCCCTCTTTATTATAGGAATCCAAATTAAAACATTCATGACAGATAGGTCTCTAGTTGAATATACCCACAGAAAAAAAGTTCACCATCATTCTGTGTAATTGGCTCGTGTCAAATTATAAGTGAAGGGAAGAATAGGTAAAACAAAGAAGGACCTGCTTATATGGAAAGCTATATAAATTCGGAACAGATCAAGACACAAATCAGTTTACTAAATTGCAGTATTTTAAGATGTGATTGGTCAACATTTAATAACTTTTCTCTTGTCATCTTACACTTAACCTGGCTAGGATAACTACATCATTATTTTACAGTTTACACTTTGACATAAGATCTCAGTGGCTTTCCCAATGTAGGACTTCCAGTAAATACAATTCTGAAATTCCAAATGTCTTCATCAGCATAGAGAGTTTAGGAACCAAAGCAGCCTCTGAATGGGACAAAATCAGTTTATAGAGCAGTCCTTCCTTTAGCCATTTTTTCCAATATCACATGTATCATAAATAATGACTTCATAGTCCTACTTTTCTCAAATTGTCAACATTCTCCATCCTCTTTCTCACTGATTTTAGAACTTTATTATGGTTGTGCAGATAACTACCAAGAAGTAATCATTATATTGTTGCATTTTATTGGTTTGCCATCAATGTATTTGTAGAAGTTGGACAGTGTCCTACGTCAAGTCTTTCCTTTCATCCTGAAATAGCCTATAGGGATTTTGTTATGGGGATGTAATTAGGAGGAACTTTGGATGGAGCTGCTTTGAGCTCTCTAAGAAAAGGCAGCAAAAGAACCATTTTTTCTTCATTGTTTCTGAACATCCTGCCTAAAAAAGAATCTCTCAGTTCACCTTGATTTTTCCACCCCTCTGGAAGAAGCACACAACTGTGTTCTCCAAAGTTTCAAAGTGAAAGTTGTAGGACTTATTTTAGTAAAAAAAGTTTCACTTGCCAGGATTGTTCTTCCTTTCTACTCATTTAAAAAGAAGACTATTTTCCATCATGGCATGACTAAAGAAATCTGATTCCATGGGCTATTACATATATAAAATAACTGAAAAAAATAACCTGAACCCATGAACAATCTGCAATCAAGCCAATATCAGAAACTGTTGATTACTTCATCTTAATTTGAACCAGAAGGAAGCTGCTTCTCAGATGTCATCTAAAACAAGGGGGTCCAACCTTAGTGACTTTTAAGACCTGTAGACTTCAACTCCTATCTGGAGAATTCTGGGAGTTGAAGTCCACATGTCTTAAAGTAATTGAGGTTATTTAAAGGCTCTGAGTGTTGTTGTTTTATCTCTTCTCTGTTCTGGATTTAACTAATCTTTTCAATTTATACCAAAAGCCTTCCTCCCCAAGTTTTATTTTGCAAAATACCAAGCATCATGCAAAAAAAGAGGATCTTTTAACTTTAGATCATTGGTGAAATATTGCTGTTAATGATAATGTCAACAAATCCGTTTAAAACACATCACAAAAACATAGGATGTTGTGGTGTTTGTTCATTTTTCTTCTCCCTGAAAGATTATTTCCATAACGTGAATTCCTCACTTTTTTGAAACTTCTACTCTGAACATCTCATTTCCACCAGGTATTTTCTACCTAGAATAAAGTTTTGCAAGATTCCCTTCTCCGAGACTTAGAGAGATACTAACAGCAAGGAATGTCGAATCTTTATACCTTCTCAAAAATCAAATAAAAAAAATAAAAATAAAAATATTGCCAGGCCTTTTCTGGTATTGCCACCCTGAAGCGCCATCTGTTAAGTGAGGCGTTTGAGAATAAACAACCCAAGCAGCTCCACAATCCCAGGCATGCTTCCAAGTTGTGTTTTCTATTACTTCGACATAAAGTAATAATAAAAAAGACTATAGCAAAGGAGAACTCTGAAGCCTTATCCAGAAACTATTTTCTCCACACGCCAGAGCTCTGATTAAAGTGATGGATCCATCCGACACCGCTCACAGCCAGAGAAAGCTCTAATTGCTTGTCTTATTTGTTACGTTTCTTCTTCATGTTAAGAGTAAGAGCATGGCTGTTTTCTGTTGTTCATGCCCATTGGAAGCGGTGGTGAGGAATCCTCCAGGGCCTTATTTCTTTTGGCTTTCGCATGATTTCAAAAAAAGTGTTATTGTCCAGAATTCTGAGGTTTTTTATCTATCTATTGACCATTCTGAGATGGCCTTTGATGTAAGGCTTGAGGTTCTCCACAAGGAACATAAATTATCCAAAAGCTCTGTCTGTAAAGATGACAACATCGTTTCTACAACCTGGATGGCAAACAAGATTTCATTGCTTCCTGAGGATTTCCCTTCCCCCAAAACAACCAGGAGTCCTGAAGTTTTGAAAAGGTAGAAGAGAGTTGGCTTAGCGTCCTGGTTCTAAGTAATGCTCCCAATTAGTTCAAAACTTCGAGGATGTTGCTTTCTCAAAGATCTTGTTTATTGGGTACGTCAGCATGTTCAAACATCAACCCAACTCTGAATAGTTCCTGCACTTTGGCATAATTAAAAGGTCAATAGTGGACACCCCCCTTGTGTCCTAATGAAGTCAATGAAGCAGGTGATGAACCTGTTAGTACCTTCCTTCTCCCATTGCTAGGATACGCTGGGTCAACTTCAGCTCTCAGGAGCCTTATCTATGTTATCTCTGGCACTCTGAAAGGAAACATTCTACATTCCACAAATCTCCCTCCCTCCTAAGCATGGCAACTGAGAAACGAAACAAGAAACTTTTTTATGGTTTCAGTTAGAGTCGTTTCAATAGTTGACACAAGATTCACAAGAACGAGGAAGGGATAGGATAGAAGATGGGACCAAAATAACTCTCCACATCTTCCAATCTTGTACTACTTTGAGTTGTTCTATGCTCTGGCTGGTGTCAGCTATGATGGTATCTTTGGTTTCCTTTTATCGCTAACTCTTCCAAGCATAATACCTGACATGTCACTGGAAGGCAGAATTGTCCCTATATCCTGATTAAGGGATATGCAGTCACTTATCTAACATGATCGACACCCTTATTAGTAGTGTGATAAAAAAAAACACCTTAAAACCTGCTTGAACATCATCATGATGCAAGATTTACCCACATCTCACATCCCTGTCTATGTATCTTTATAGCAGCTGGTATGAACATGGAAATCTATTCTCTGTTGAACTACCCAACAATAATCAGATTGACCAATTATTGTATTTTAGCACTTATTCCAGTAGCAGAAAGTGCTATAACATTTCTTCTTTCATCCAAATTCCCTGTCAAAATTCCTTCTGAATTTCTACATTAGATGTTCTTTGAATTCAGGGTAATTATCTGTGTTTTGACCAGATGTGGTTATTAATCAGGACCAAATTGAAAGATGGGAATAGTGGATAAAGTTCTCACAACAGAATAGTTTTAATACATTAGCGAAAAGAAACTGACTTTGTGGCAGGGAAATTTCTTCAACTTTACCACTTTGGATGTTTGGCTGTTTAATGTTTGTTTACTCTCATTTTTAATTCATAGTTGGAAATATAGTCAGAAAAATGCTACCTTAAAAAAAAAAAAAGAATTATCAGCTTTTTTTGGGATGCTACTATTTTTTTCATCAACTACATAGTAAAGTTAGTGGGAGAATTTAATATGCTAAATCTCAAATTATTTTTAAAAAATAATGAGTGGAAAGACATTTTCATCAGCGTTGTTAATGTTATTGTGGCTAACATTGGATGGAAAATCAATATAGAAGCATAGGAACTATGTTGTCTATCATTCCTCTCCTCAACCTCTCCTCATTCTTCTCTACCTTAGATAGGATTTTAAGAAAATAAGATGTATATTGTTCCTTCCTTGTTCTTTGATCAAAGAATTTTATCTCAGTCCATCTCAATGTAAAAAAAAAAAAAAAAGGAGAAAGTTAAACCTACAACGCAACTGTAGCAAAGCATAAGTAATGCTAGCACATGCGAGCTGAAATTTGGCAACTGAATGAAAGTCATAAAGTTGGCTTTGGAAAGTTCTAATTGAAGGAAACTGATGGTTAAAGGAAATCAATGCAATTGCTTACAGTCAGTGATGAGTAAGATTTAATATTATATATATATTTCTGGTTGGTCTTAAATATCGTAAGAGGGCAGAGGGAAAGGAAGCAATTGGAAATATCTGTAGTGGCGTGAAACCCATGCAAACAATGGGATAGTGAACCCATCTGTACATTAGGAGCTAAAATGATGTATAATGCTGATTAGTTAACTCCTGATGACTTCTATCCCATCCCATCATCACAGAATTGTACCATACAGCCTTGCAAAAGTTGTGGGACCAAACATACTTCCAAGATGAGTGAGATTCATTATTTACTGTTATTCCTAGTTAGGAAGTGCCAATTCTAAATTCATCAATCATTATCAATTTCAATTTAGAGCTCCCCAGTTTAAAATGGGTATTAGATTTTTCTTTCTTACAGCAGAGATAAAGTTTGAACCAGTCTTTTGAGAAGGATCTTGGAGTCCTAGTGGACGACCATTTAAATATGATCCAGCAGTGTGCAGCAGCTGCCAAAAAAGCCAACACAGTTCTAGGCTGAATAAGCAGAGGGATAGAATCAAGATCACGCAAAGTGTTATTACCACTTTCTAATGCCTTGGTAAGGCCGTACTTGGAATCCTGCATCCAGTTTTGGTCACCATGATAATGAAAAAGATGTTGAGACTCCAGAAAGAGTGCAGAGAAGAGCAACAAAGACGATTAGGGGACTGGAGGCTAAAACATATAAAGAACGGTTGCTGGAATTGGGGATGTCTAGTTTAATGAAAAGAAGGACTAGTGGTGACACGATAGCAGTCTTCGAATATCTCAGGAGCTGCCCCAAAGAAGAGGGGGTCAAGCTATTCTCCAAAGCACTTGAGGGCAGAACAAGAAGCAATGGGTGGAAACTAATCAAGGAGAGAAGCAACCTAGAATTAAGGAGAAATTTCCTGACAGTTAGAACAATTCACCAGTGGAACAACTTGCCTCCAGAAGTTGTGAATGCTCCAACACTGGAAGTTTTAAAAAAGATGTTGGATAATGATTTGTCTGAAGTGGTGCAGGGTTTCCTGCCTAGGCAGCGGGTTGGACTAGAAGACCTCCAAGGTCCCTTCCAACTCTGTTATTCTATTCTATTCTTCTATTCTTTTCATCAGCTTTCCCACTGCTTTGGGAAAAGGAGGTCACCGCTCAAGTGCAGATGGAGAAGACCTTGTAGAGAGAAGTTACAGCAGACACAGATCTATTGGATTTGACATTCATGCAGTAAAGGATAGGTGGTGTCCAGGGATCTTCCCATCCATCCCACAAATAACCATACTAACAGCAGTGGGCAATGACAGCTTTGGACAGAGCTTTTCACCATCATTTGGGCCAGGATAGACAGCCTTGCACTTTGGTTACAGATCATTTTTTTATTTCTTTTACTTAATAAATATATGGTATCTGTTTCTGGAGCACGTTCCAAACTAACATAGTCATCATTATGTAACTACCATAGCCCCTCTTTTTTTTAAAAAAAAAAATCTATTATATAAAACTGAAGTGTTTTGTTCTGATTCTTCAAAATATCAGGGACACAAAAGACATTCTGAACCATGGAGCAGTAATTGTACCAATTGGGCAGAGATATGTTAACTGAATGCTCTGTGGATGAGCTATGCATTCTTGTTTAAAGACGGTGACCAGCTGTGCCAATGGCTTTGAGCAATTGTGGATCAGCCCATGACTGTAGGGAACATGTTCTACTGAGAACATGCTTTCAAATAGTCTGTAAGAGAGTATGTAATACGTAATTATGTATTCTCATGGTCAGCTAGAACTTATTTAGGGATCCCAAAGAGATCAGAAGAATTGTGGATCAGCCCATGACTGTAAGGTACATGTTCTACTGAGAACATGCTTTCAAGTGTAAGAGAAGAATTTATATGGGTTATCAAGTATGCCACAATAGGAGCATTTATGTAAAATATGAAGCCTGAGGCCATGATTTAGAACCACAGTACAGTACATCAACCATGCAAGGTCCTAAGACATTCCTCTTAGTTTAATGAGTGAACCCTTAACTGAAGGACAAAACTTTTCAGGAGAATTCTACATCCTTCAGTGATGTAGCTTTTCTCAAGTTGGGCACCCTGGACAATGTACTTGTTTTACTGTCTGTTTCTGGATCCTAACTCTATTGTCTCCTGCTTTTATCTACTTTCACATGGACCATCTTACCAACACACAATGTATCTTACCAATTCCTTTCCTGATTATAGAGTAGAGTAGAGTAGAGTAGAGTAGAGTAGAGTAGAGTAGAGTAGAATTCTTTATTGGCCAAGTGTGGTTGGACACACAAGGAATTAGTCTTGGTGCAAATGTTCTCAGTGTACCTAAAAAAAATGATACATTCATCAAGAGTCAAGAATCATAAGGTATAACATTTAATGATAGTTATAGGGTACAATAAGCAATCAAATCATACTAGGAAACAGTCAATATAAATCGTAAGGATACAAGCGACAAAGTTACAGTCATACAGTCACAAGTGGGAGGGGATGGGTGATAAGGAGTGATGAGAAGATTAACAGTAATAGTAGTGCAGACTTTGTAATAGTAGAATTATATCAATATTGTAGACAGTACTGTGGCTCTCTTCCTTACAATTGTTTAAATTACCCCCTAACTTTATCTAATAATAAAGGAACTATGATCAATGTGTGTAATGAAGAGAATTCTATCCAGGTCTAGCACAGTGGACAAAATCTGGTAGCCTGTTCACAGTCTAACAATTAAAACCACAGCACAGTGCCCTCTATATTGTCTTGGTTTAGTCTTGGTGTCAAAATTGTTCTTTCTGCTTCTCTTTATCGGGTTGCACAATATCTGTTAGCTACATGTGATATGAAGATTTGCTGAAATAGAATAGAGTCTTCTATCCGTTATTTATTTTTATTGACAAGAGCAATTGTGGTCCTAAGCAATGAATAATGCATTGCTTGAGAAGTAATATAATTTATCCTGTTGGAATTATAAAAGAAGCTGAGCGGAACTGAAGAGGGGATCATGTGAGCTAGAAATGGACAAGAGTTTCCCCAAGACGTGGCTACATTCAGCTCTCAGCAGTACCAGGTTCTCTGGGAGTTATAGCTCAAAAACATCTCACACCTGATGCCAAGCCAAGCAGACCTCAACCAAAATCCTACCTTAGTCATGAATAGGTGGTTTCACTGAAGTCATCTGAGCCAATCTTTTACAGAAACATGTTATGGATTGTTGAGACAACATAGCTGGAAAGGCAATCAAAAAGCACAGCCATCAAAGGCAATATCCAGGAATGCAAAAACTGTAGGAATAGTTTAGTTGTTTTGTCATGCCTCATAGATCTAGCAATGTGATCCTCTTATTTTTAGCAAGGGACTCACCACAAAAGTGATCCAGCAAAGCCCAACTTGCAGAGCCAAGAAATAGAAGACAAGTGGCATCAAAATCCAGTTTTGAGGCTAGAGTTTGGAATTAGACTTTACATCAGAAAACTCTGTGGGGTGTTTGGGTGGTAGGGAGTCAAAACCTGCAGTAGTGTATTAAGTGGAGCTTCCATTTTGATGCCTTCACTATATGGAGATTCTTCAGTTAATCTGTGGAGATTCTTCAGAAGCCCAGCTAGATTCCTCAATTAATCATTTTTCTTAATGATGTTATGACTGTAATTTCTTTTTCTCCTTCTCATCTTCAGCTAAATATCAGGTGTGTGATTATAGTGTTATGATGATGATGGTGGTGACAATATTGGTGGACTTTGGTTCTTATTTTAACTATCTGACTTTTTAGACTACTTTCCTAGCAACCAGGTTATTGTTGAAGGGAAGTAGCATGCTGCTTCTTGTTTGAAGCTCTTTGGTTTCTAGTGCCACTTCTCATATCGGTGGAAATAAGAAATAGTGAGGAGGCAGGCTCAGGAAGCAATAAATGAAGATAGCAATGGCCACCAGACATTTTAAACAATGAATCTTCTATTAAGCTTTTCATTTCCTAAAGGGAGAAGTGGCAAAGGACTACTTTTGTCTTTGAAGATGCTTCCAACTGATAGTTTTCTTCTAAAGTTAGCTTCTTCTCACAGGGCTGAGAAGTTCCTCAGATCTACGGTCTGTGGCCTTCTTCAAAATACCCAACAATCTCAATGGATAACATCAAGAAATCCAAGAACATTTTATGTATGGTCCTAAGGGTTAGAGTTAGAGCAACTTTTTTGCAAGGCTGACATTATGAATTACATTTCATGGAGTCACCTTTTCTCTTCCTACTTTTTTTATGCTTCACTTTCCAACAGCACTGGGCATTTCTTTTTGACTTTCCCATCCATTTCAGAGTCCGTCTTCTCTCCCAGACCATCTACACATCCTCCTCCTTCATTCCATTTCTTCTTTACTCAATCTGTTTCGTGGAGTGCTAATTATGAAGCAATATATTTATTTTCCCTTTTATCTTCATTTTTTTTCTCTTCCATTGTTTCCTTACCTGGTTTAGAAATAAGTGAGCCCACAAGCTCAACCTTGTTCCAAGGTCAGTATTGTCTTGCTGTATATCACATCCGCTCTGCCTCCCTTTATTGCAACTCTCCTCCCCCACCTTTGATACACATTGCCTGATCCCCTGTTCGATTTGCATGGAGGACTGTACCACTTCCTGCTGGGGTGGGTCCAGAGAGGGTACAGTTTGGGATTGGTCTCCTTGTCTTCCATTGTGTCATGTCTGGTCAGTGGTTGAGAGCTCCAATATCTAGTTTGAGATCTCCTTTTAGAAATGAAAAATCAATTTCAAGGATCAAAAGTCATCAAGATTCTGATCCTTTCCTTCTTCTCTCCCCACCAAAAAAAATAAAAATAATTTTAGGAACTGCCCCGCTTACCAATTCCCTTTACCAGATGTACTAAAGCTAAAAATGAATGAATTAAATGAATTAATTACCACTATTGATTAATCAATGGAACAGTTTGTCTCTCAGAGTTGTTGGTGTTCCATCTTTGGATATTTGCAAGACAAGACTGGACAGCCATTGATCCAGGATGGTATGAGGATGCCTGCTTTGGGCAGGGGGTTGGACTCAAAGACCTCCGAAATCCCTTCCAGCCTTATGACTCTATCATTTAAAGAGACTACTGAGGACAAATTCACAGCACATAATTCTTGAAATTATTAAGTTTTGAGTGTAAGTAAAGAAGTAAGCACACTATTCTAAAAAAAAACAACATTCCTTTTCTTAGATGATGTGCTTTCTTTTTAAAAGAGAACAACTGAAAAAAAAATCAGAACTTCTATTTCTAGCCCTTCACTATTAGTTAGGGACTACTGATTCCAAATCCTTTACAGGTTATTTGGAGAAATATCCCTATCCACCCCATTTTTTCATCTATAGATATGATGACAAATAGAACCCTGGCCAATTAGGTGGAAAAATCCTCCCCCAGCAATGCCAATTCTGAAGTCTCTTTTTAATAAAATCCCATGTGAATCAAGGAAGGGGTACTAATTATTTGTACCCAATGTGATTCTTTGCCCCCTACCAAATGATATATTTCAAGTCTGGAAGCTGAATCACACCAACTGGATTTCTTTTCTTTGTTTGGTTTGAAACATTTTGCTGGTGATGCAACTTGAATAAACAATGAATCACTTCAGACCCAAGAAGAAATGAAGTGTGGTTGCCATGACTCAACCTCCAGACAGATCTACCTGGATGATTGAGAATCATCATTAATATACTTTTTAAGGTCATCTCAAAGGTGTTTTTTTTTTTTCAAAAGGCAACTGAATTGTTTTTTTTATTTGAGGAAGAAGAAGATGTTTCACTTCTCTTCTAAGGAGCTTCATCAGTTGTTTCTTGGTAAGGAGTAAAAATTCTTCTTCTTCTTTCTCAAATTACAAAAAAACCCAGTCCACTTGCCTTTTGAAAAAGCACCTTAGAAACAACTATGACCTGGAAGATTTAGAATCTCCATAGACACACTTCAAAGTTCCTTTGAAAGAGTCAGGAATTGAAGCCTCTAATAAAACCAGGTGAGATTGGCAGAGTAGACATGTCTAAGAATTATGCTCATTGGAAGAATTTAATATTTACAACTTTGTATTCTTCCTGTTCTTAGAAGACTTCTCTGGTCAAGGTTGAAATATGGGTGTGTTGTAGAAAGATCTTGGACCTAGTAGCTGGATTTGATATTTTTTTGTTTCCCTTAAAGGAGCATGTAGAGGCCAGCATGCACAAACCTAGAATTATTCTACATGTAATAAATGTACATGAAGCTCCACACCATTCGAAGAATGATGTAAATATTTGTTGAAATATCCCTATCCCAACTGGGCTGCTGAAGGGATCAGCTGTTCCTTCATCTGTGTCCTGGTAACAAAAATGAAACTGTGTCTTTGAAATATTAAAAATGAAAATAAATAGGCAACACAATTGGTTGCCTGATGAATAGAGGATCGGCTTCAGTAGAATAAATTGGGACTGGCTGGAAGGGGTCCCAGGTTGTACCACCTGTAGACAGAGATGACAGACAGAGACAGACATGATCACTGGCAGAAAATCATGCCTCAAATCTAGATGTTTAAACTGGATTAAAGAAAAAGTTACCAACAAAAGAGAACCTCTGCAGCCCGGGGCGAACTCTGGGATCCCTGATGCCCTCTGAACTTGGTAGACATTTCACTATCCAACTAGGTAATGTCATCAGTGCACCAGAATCTTCTATGTTCTAAGAAGAACTGAAGATGCTACCTAGTCAGGTAAGGAAATATCTCCAATAAAACAGCCAAGCTCAGAGAAGACCAAGGATATATAGAGTATATATATTATGGAATGTGAGTAATCTTAGCCAGATCTTCATCCAATTTCTCATTCTTTTCTGAAGAGGTACTGTGCTAGTTCTTCAGACTACCACTAGATCCCATCCTTAATTTTCAGAAAAATAATGTGGTTTGTCTGTCAGTCTGCATCCCTTCACCCCTTGCAGAATCAAATACTGATATGCAGCTGCCTCATTCTGAAAAAAAAGAAAAGAAAAAGAGCTGATTTATTAACTCGTTTTTCTTTCTTTCTGTTTCTTTTTTTTTCTTTTTTTCCCTTCTGCATGGCTTCCTTATGTATCTCTTCATGCTCCCTACACATTCTGCCATGTAAGTATCACTGGCCTCGATACCAGATATTATGGTTTGGATGAGGAATGAATGTTGAAAGGCTTCAAGGGAAGAGGGTGGACAGAAAAGACTTGAGAAAGGGAAGACATGGGACAAATACATTCTGATGGATCATCCACAGTAGGCATATATTAGAATCAATTCATATAATGTGGAAGAACCAAAATCAATTACACACTTAGGTTTGGGCCTTAGGTCTTGAATTCCCACTGCATTTGCTTCTTTGTTTCTATTCTTACACACTTCCCTTCTAGTTTAATGTGAAGGTAGCGCTTACCTAACATGTCCAAGCCACTACAGGTGATACATACAGACCTTCTCCTTTGCCACTTCTCATTGCGAGTTTTGAAAGCAGTGAGTAGAAATCAAACCAGGAGAATTGGGATCACATTGCCAAAACTAGTCCTTGACTTACAATTTATCCCAAAATTTATGTTGTTAAGTGAGATATTTCTTGCCACATTTGTTAACTTAGTTTCGATCACGTCATCATGGGGATCCTACAAAGGTTGTAACTGTGAAAAACAATCATAAGTCACATTTTTTCAGAGCCATTGTAACTTTGAACAGTCACTAAATGAACAGTTGTAAGTCAAGGACTACCTGTACTTGTACAGTTGATTCCCATCACTCCAAAAGATTAGGTACCCACCAAAAAAAAAGTATCCTTTCCAAAAAACAGAATGTCCCCTGTGCACTTTTAGCTGCTTTAAAAAGGATAATAGGAGAGATTCTATTTACAATGTCGATAAGTCTCTTCTCACTATATCTAAATATATTTTCAACAGCCATTCAACTTTTCAAAATGTGTCTTCCTGTTCAGATTTTAATACGGTCCTGTATGAAATACAGAGAACATAGGCAGAGGGTCAGATTTGTGTTGTCCCCAAATTGTAGCTGTTTTCCCATGTGCTGAAATATTTGTGAGAAGCATGTTGTTGACTATTGAATTTGAACATATGTTGATGAAATCCCAGCATGCCTCCTCCTCCTCCTCCTTCTTCTTCTTCTTCTTCTTCTTCTTCTTCTTCTTCTTCTTCTTCTCCTCCTCCTCCTCCTCCTCCTCCTCCTCCTCCTCCTCCTCCTCCTACCATATCTGTCACCGAATGTTAGCGATCATGTTGGCGATTCTATTTTTATCAATGCATTTGATTCATTTTATAAATGAAGGTTTTAAGATCTCCAGATCTTAAAATAAATATGTTTGCGTAGTGACTTCATCCACAGGGAGGTTTGTCCTGTTACCCATTAGAAAGCTCTAAATGTTGATAGTCCCAATGAACTTCAACATTATTTTGTCGTGTTTTTAAACAATGGCTCAGTGTTTGCCTTTATTGGATTACTGTTGTATTATTGCATTTTTCGTAATAAATTATGCATCTGCTTGTGTTCCCTGGTGGATAGAAAAGCAATTTCTAAATACATCTAAATCATAATAGAGCTAAGGATGCAAACTGTGTATGCACGTTTTCTGTGATCGGTTCCATAAATCTGCAAGCTAAACCACAGTGCAAGTAGAATCAAATATAGAACAGGAGAGACCCTGGATAATTATTCTGATCCCCAGATAATGTCCTAGGGTAAGTATATTCCCAAGAGCCAAATGAGCAGAAATTGATAGGTTTAAATGCCTGCATCCAATTCTGATTTAACTTGCAATTTCTTCAACTTCCACCATTCATTCATCACATTCAATAATCAGAGTTTTCCTGGAAGATAAGTGCTTTCAAAAGCTTTTCGAATATCATAACACTAATCATACAATAAAAGGGGGCATGCAAATCCCTTGCAAAATGTGCACACCTTGTCCATCTGAAAATGGTGAGCAAATTGTTTTTATATATATATATATATATATTTCCTACAATTGGTTTCAATGTAAAGTCTTCTCAGTTGATTTTTTTTTTTTTTAACAGAAGCCGATGGAGGAAAAATATGTGCAAAACTGAGAGACGTTTTACATATTTTTAAGTTAATCAGTGAGACTTTGATGGAGGAGAGCAGAGATAACTGTTCTTAATGGAAGCTAGAGTCCAGGGTTTCACAGCTGTTGCTCATATTTGCACGCAGAGTTCAGCTGTGTACTTCTTTGCCTTGCAAATTCCAACTCTCGTTCTCCCCAACATTTATTCCTGGCAGAAAATATATTTGTTTAAATGCCAGTATGGATGAAACCCAATGAATGTTAGCACAGTGTATAAAGTGATTTTTTTTTTGTCACCTCCAGCAGTTGGGTGCGAAACATGGATATATTTTAAGTGTAATGCAATGGATATCAGTGTTCCTTTTCCAAGGTTAATGGAGCATGCCCATTACACACAGAGCTTGATAGTAGTAATATGGCAAAGCTGTCTTTTTAGGAAAAAGGT